AACGAAAGACGAGATTTTTCTAGATATTTACAAACAAACTGCCATGACAAACATATGTAAAATTATCAAATACACAAAGAGGTGTAATATTAGGTTTTATTTTAGGCTTATAAATATTTTCTTTCACCCAGTCAAAGCATGGAACTGCTATTTAGCTTCATGGTCCTTCAGCTTGTTTTCTCCTTGAGGGAAAACAATAATTATACAAATCCCACATTGCGAAGAAAATCAGGAAAGAAAACCCAGACAACCATGTCGTACTTGTGTTGAAATACATTTTGTGTGTGTGTATATATATATATATATATATAATGTTCATGTTTCTCAATTAATATTACATGTACTGTTAGTATCAACTTCAGGAACGCAAAAATTCGGGAAAAGTACAAATCAATTTTTTTGGCAGAGAAAATGAAAATAACATACTGAGTTCCTGGAGAGCATCTGGTTGATATTATCAGTAGTATAAATGCATTAATTCCGTGCACTACTTTATGTCTAACTTCATATTTGAAAAGTGGTTGATATTGTATTATAATTGATACTATTTCTAAAGGCTACATGATCAGATAAAACTTCTTATTGTAACTAAAAGAACAATTTTAAGTGAAATTTTATCAATATACATACAAAAACACATGCCAAAATATAACATTGCCAATAGTCGAAACTGGTTTCACGGCAACAAATCTCGTCAAAGTCACCCTTTTTCATGATCGGATTGTCTGAAGTGGATCAGCAGAATGCAATTATGGACATTATTTTACTAATTGGATAAGATTTAAGTTCTTTTTTTTATCCTGCAACACATTGCAGGCATTTTCTCTCACTGTATAGCTTGCAATTTTGTTTTCAGCCAATAACATAAACTGGCGCAGTCGGGGCGATTAATTTGTTTTTTGTAGTTTAAATAAAAAAAAAATCGCGAAATGGAGGTGTTAGCGCGACTGGTTTATTCTGCAGGAAATTCATTGCTATTAAATATTCATGATGCCCACAGGTGGGCGCGGAAACACGTGTTAAATGAGGTGTACATGGTAAAGGTCACACTGCAGACATAACATGGCGGCAAATTCGAGTTTGTCTTATCGTCGTTTCCAATTCATCACAATTTGTAAAAAAGTAACTCGTACTAGTCGTTGAATTAAACAAAAATCGGCTGCTACGAACCA